CATGCTCATCTGATACAGCTCCAAGATTTTCAGGAAAGAAATCTAAATGCGAGTCCAAAAAATGGATCTTGAGTGACATATTGCATCATAAAGCTTTATAAGCAGAAAGTAGCTCCCGAATGATTTGTTGATAGTTGTCACTTTTTGCGTTCCCAAGAAAATTATGACACCTCCACAAACGCTACCCAAGCTTTTTTTTCTGCTTTGCTCAACTTCGAATCAAAAACCTCATCCTTCATGAGCTCACGTATCTGCGGACCTACAAAAATTCCTTCCTTTAATTTCGCGTCACTGATTCGAGGAAATTTTGTTTTTAAGTATTGAAAACCTGCACCATCTTTATTCATATCTTTCACAAAGTTTTTTTATGAGTCCCAACTTTATGTGAAGGGGTGGCAGAAAAATTTTCTCGCATGGCACTAACGGTTTATGAGAAACATTTTTAAGTCCAGGAGTCAAACTTTTTCTTGATGGCCAGGTTTTTACTTTGTAATGTTTGTCTCTTGGGCGGTTATCCCACTCACAAAGCAAACAGCAAAATTTTGTGTATCCTCCTTGTAGTCTAGTCAGTATAGCGACAACTTTTAAATCAGCACAAATATTCCATAGGTATTGAGAATATTTAATTTTCTCAAGTAATACCTCAAGGTTTGCATAATTTTCTTTCATGCTTCTTCTTCTGAAAAACTTAGTTCTTCAAGAAGCCCTGCAGCATCATTACAATATACCAAATCATCTTCTTTGGAGAAGTAACGTGTAAAACTTTCTTGCTTCGTACGAAAATATGAAACTCTGGTACTTTTAGCCAATAGATTCCACTGTTTTAACCTTGATCCGAGTAACTGTGCCTTAGATTTTGAAAGTCCCAAGTCTCTAACAAGATCATTTAAGTCGCCTTGTTCAAGTAAATGAGGTTCTGTAGATGGACATGAAGATCCTCTCATAAAGTGTATGAAGATGAAGATGTACTATCAGAAAAAAAACTCGATTGAGATTGTAGACCTGAAATAATTTTATTTTCGGCCATCTCATTAACTGGTGGAACTGGAGGTGGAGTGTCTTTATCACGAGGAATTGGTCTCTTTGCAGATAGGACGTTCGGATAAACAATCTTATCTCTATTTTTTTCGAGAATCCTCGTGTAAATGTCATGCAGAAATAAAATTCATTCTCATGATTTTGAGGCTCACTCCAAATCATGGGTATTGAAAACGGCATGGATTTGTGACTTTCTTCAAGTCAACCTCTCAACGTTCTTGAGCAGCTATTGCAGCATACTTTTGGCAACAAACTTTTATCTCGTTATGTCGTTGTGTTTTTAATATGTATTCCCCACAAATGTAGCAAAAACAATCTAACGAATTTTTACAAGTCCGTGGCATTTTGTAACCTAAAATCACATAAAATTAATTTTAAAACAACTTTCAAACTTATATTTTATATTTATTGGCTCTACTTAAAAAAAAACTCAAATTACACATCAAATACTTAAATCCAATGTAGAGAACATGAACTTTATGCAAAACTTGCCAAAGTATTTGATATAAAAGGTAAACAATTAAACGACAAGTTTTTACTGAACTGTTGTAGTGTCACAATGAATACTGCGCATGCGTAAAAATCACCTACGGCACTTCCCTCCTTTCTCTTACAACTCTCTGAAACTCATTTTGTATGTATATTTACTTTTTGTAACGTTGACGAATGAAAAAATTGAAAAAAAAAACAAAATTTTGAAATATTAAAAAAAATCATCGAAAAATCTAGACGTGATAGAAAAAATCGGCCAACGGGGATAGATTCAAAATGTTTGAATCATTATATTTATCATAAAATTTTTTAAAGGAGGATTTCATTGCCAACCAGTGTTATTTTCGGAATGAATTGAAAACAGATCTGCCCATTTATATCATCACTGTATAGTATCATTCGTTTAGAACCTGCAAGGCTAGTAACGTACGGTGCTGGATGCAGTAAAATGGAAATATCATTGCTTGGGCTTGACAAAATAACCATTTGCAACAGGAATGTTCAATATTCTTGGTTGCTGTCAAATTGATTTCCAGTTTCCTATTTTCTATGAAATTTAAATTTACATTTTTGTACGCGTCTAACCAGTATTCATTAATAATTTAATTACATCGTTCATAATTAACGCAATTTATTGCTAGCAACCGACGATCGATGTTTATTGTCGCGTTATTCATTGTTTCGTTGTTTTTATTTCCATTACTTTTAATTGTTGCAATATTAAAGCGGGCACGGTAAAATGAAATCCCGATTAAAATTCAAATATATGCAAACATCAAAAGTATGGCTCTGGGAATAATGTTGTATTGTTTGCTGTATCATTACATTTCAAAATTTCGCGTGTTCCATTGTCAACAAAAACCGATCGTTCAATGGGGGGAGATTTTAATTTTATGATTATTTTTTTTTCCATTGTCAAGCGAACGAAATCAATTTTTAACAAAACAAGAGACGAGTTTTTGATGCCGAATAAACAAGTTTCACTAAAAATAGATCCGCTTCGAATAAGGGGGAATAGAATTTTATGGTCCAAAGGATTTACTAGGTACATTTAACAAAGGGATACAAATGAAATGTTTATAAAAGTATGAATAGTATCTTATGCAAGTGTTGTAAACGGCATTTGACTGGCGGGTTTATTTGGCACGAGCGGAGCGAGCGAGTTTAAAAAGTTTACTAAACGTGTTGCATACTATACTTTTTCTACGACCGTTAGAAACGAATATATTCACTGACATGACCTTCAAAATTCAAGCCATGCGGTAAAATCTCCGAACACAACCGATTGCTCCCAAACCCGTGCGCTAATATCCCGGAAATATCAGAAGTGGCTCGGATCCATGGGAAACGAAATTGCAATCGCTGTATAGTTACTTATTTTACAAAAGAGAGTAGAAAATGGTATACTATGCAACAAGTGCGGTAAACGGCATTTGACTCACGAGTTTATTTGACACGAGCCGAGCGCAGCGGAGCCAGTTTTTAAACAAGTGAGTTAAAAAGTATACCGAACGTGTTGCACACTATACTTTTCTACGACCTTTAGTTGGCAAACGTCAAAATTCACAAAAACCGGAAACAGGAAACCATGTCCAAAGAGTTTGAATGTTGGCTGTACAGAAGTGTTACGGAGAATGAAAATCTCCATGGAAGTAAACAACGTCAAATGCCGCAAACTTCAATACCTGGGTCATAAATATAAACTACTACAGCGTATCCTTCAGGGAAAAATTCCAGGAAGAAGAGCGCCAGGACGCAGGAGACTCTCTTGGCTGACCAATCTTCGGGCACGGTTTGGCAAGTCTTCCACACAACTGTTCCGGATTGCAGCCAACAACATTATCATAGCCGGAATGATCGCCAACATTCGCAGCGGACAGACACCATAAGAAGAAGAACAGGGAGAAGATCAAGATGGCAACTACGTGCTAGATACTCTAACCAGATACAACTCTATAAAACTTTTAGAGCAGATGAAGATAAATACCAATGGATAACCCTAGTTCACAATATTGAGGCAAATTAAGATCTTTAGTAACGGAAATGAGAGAGAGGGGCATACCTATGATTGCTGCTTTAAAGCTTTCCATATATTTTGTTGAAAAATGCTTATTTATTGTATATCAAAATTAAAATAATTGGTTCCGGTAAATGCTTATATTACATCTATAATTCTTGTTCCGTCGTATATGGTTTTTTCTAATTATTTTAATTTGTTGCTATTTAATATGCGCTCTTGATACTTGATCTTATTTCTATTGTATATGTAGATTACTTGATCATAACGCCTAATTTTGACATTTTGACATTTGACAGTGACGGATTCGGTAACATTCTGAACACAGTTTCTTAAAACGCAATTACGAATTTATAACAGCTTTTCGATGTTCAGCATAGACTAAGTCTGTGTGTTGAAGAATGAATTTAAATTTAGTTGTCAACTAGTTCGTCTGTTGATTTATAACCCATAGCACTGGCGCTCTGGAGCAATATGCTCCCATTATTGGCAATTGAATTTACTAGTATTAGATTTTAATATTCATATTGTACTACATTTTCCCTCTAGTCTTAAGTTCCTCCAATCCCTCTATTACGTTTTTTTTAATCTCCCCCAGCAATTGCGGTATTTATATGGTAGAATCTGCTGAAGTGTTTCGTCTGGCCCTATGTTTTTAAATTGATAAATGATTTTTAAAGTATGACTGACAATTAACCGTATTTATTTGCATAATTGACATTGATATAATACCCAATATCAACCAAATTAAACAGCATACTTGAGTAATACCAAAGGTAAATCTGACACATTTAAAGACAATTTCAGATTAAGAGGGTGTCTGGTAGAGGGAGGTTAGAGGGACCGGTTCGGACTATGGCAAGTTTGACGAGGGCCTTGGGAAGCTACACAGTATAGCTTTTGCATAAGCTGCCATAATTAAATAATACCTATCCTTTGTTACGAATCACACAATTTGGACATATTTTATATATTTAGATCCTCCGGAAGTATGATTAACTCGCATCTATTTTTAAGTATTTAGAACAAATCCAATGTCCAGTATCCAATTGGTCCTCCGGACGCAAGGAAAGATATTTATTAAGTAGCTTGACAGTAAGGATTCATTCATGTAACAAGATTGACAAATCTTACATCAGGTTACGATTGTTTCTTTCTCTCATACCGACATTCATTTGAATCGCTATTTTTAATTTGTAGTTTCCACCATCCATAATAAGTAATGATGATTGATGGCCTCTTAAACACACAAAACATGTATTGAGAAAAGAGCTTATTATTGGACTTTGCAGCATACCTCTGATTTTGGAGAGATAATTAAAATCTTCACTTCTATATGGAAATGAATGTAAAGTAAAGGCGATTTTCGTCTCCCAAATTCTGTAGATTTCAACTTTAAATTTTTATTGGATAAATTTATATATGTTACAAAAATAATTCAGAATCATAAACTTCACAATTCTACGTCGTTTTTATCACTTTCCGCACAAACCTGGCTGCACACGGTTTGCGGGTGAACCGTCACGAACCTTGTCTCCTCTGACGCGATTTCACTCGAACCTACTTCATTAAAACTATCCAGTAATTCTACCTGCGATGCGGAATGTTCTTCTCCGCCCGGTGTCGTATCACTTTGGGAAACGGGTTTCACGGGGTATCCCTCGGCAGTGTATCGCACGTCGATAGCGAAATTGTCGAAGTAACTTTTGTCTGTCGATGAACATGCGAACAGGGTGGTGCTTGTAGTGATTGGATAATCGTCACATAAATACCGCCGAGTGTGCAGGGGCATTAGACTAGGTTGATATCGCCGGTGAGGTAGCGTCCTGTACATCTTGGGGAAGTACTGAAACAAATAATAATAATAATAATAATAATAATGATAACAAAATGAAATTGTTATAATTATTGACTGCTATTCCAAACAGTTTACCAAAACCTGTACATTTTCGACACTTTTGTGGGACCTCTCACTCATTTTTAAAGAGAAATTTCCTCGCCCTTTCTACGTATACGGACGTTTCGAAAGTCTATTTGGATAACTTATCGAAAATCTAGTAACTGTACCTTATACAGCGCTCTGAATAACTGTATCGGGATAAGGGTTGTATGTGTGTATTGTATATTGTGAAGATTTATTTTTAAAAGCAAATCCAAAACTTAAGTACTTTTTTCATTTTTAAATAGAAGGGGAACAGGATATTTGTTCCATGGTCATAAAGCAATTTTCGCTAAATAGTTTTAGTTGAATTTAGAAAATTATGATAGTATTGTTTATAATTAGCACTACTGTTACTAGTCAATTTTTTGCATTCTTACAACTTTTTGAATTGAAAACGTCATATTTGCCTGATCCAGATGTTGTGATCATAAATCATTTTGCAATGACGTTTAACAAATACATATATCAATTTCTTTAAAATTGATTTATGTCTACGTATCTTAAAGAGTTCTTTTGTTAAAATATAATGGGGTAATCACATTTTTGCCATCAATCTGTAAGGTGTATATCTATTTTGTGAAGTATTTTACACAAAAATAACCGTCTTGATACCTAAAAATTCCTTGCTTCTCATCCCAACGCCTTATAATGGCCTTATCATTTTACCTTCTCCGCTATGTGTATTGTGGGGTTAGGTGGAAAGAAGCGACGTCGAGAGGGGAGAAAGGAAAAAGGGAGTCGATGTTCTATACACATTTGCTCGATATAATTTTGCGAGATGCATGGCATCTGCCCTATTCACATTTGAATATATTTTTTCACGTTTTAAACATTATTAACAAAACAATACGCTTTATTTAATACACGCATATATATTCATGGCCCCTTTCTGAGGAAATACGTGCATGTAAGTCCATAGAAATATTTGAATTGCAATCGTTCGTATCTCATAAGAGAGAGCATAGTCTTTTGACCTTTCTAACATTCTAGTAAGTCTATAATCGTAAGGGAATGTAACAAACATCTCATTGATTTGTAGTTCTTAGTATCGCAGTTTCTTTGTAACCTACATGTGTATACTTCTAATCAGACAACGGTCAGAAGAATAACTTACGATCCAGTATTATTAGAATAACAGGAAAGGTACGGCCATGAACTACCAAATAGCACGAATACCTAAAATAAAATATAATTTTTGGAGAGAAGAGAAGCAACATCTCATAAACTTATGGCACATTTCTCATTGGGGTTGAACATATTTTAGAAAATTTAAAAAAAACTTGCAAAATGCGATCTCAAATCGTTCAATCGTTCAGTATATTCAAAATATATACGGGATGCTCCTTAATACTGAAGATGACAATTCTCAAATTAATTTAAGGAAAACACGGTGGTGAACAGGTCAGAAAAAAACAGTTTGTTTATATTATAAACGTTTACAGATAGCTCCATTTTAGGGACCTTCCTCTTTTTAGTTTACACTATTGACATTTTGAACTCCATTCTGTGCAAACATTTGCCGATGACATGCAGCTCTGTTTTGCTGCCTACGACTATGTTGAGGCGAAAGTCTAATATAAATCGTGATGTACGTATTATAAGTGACCTTTATAGTGACCACAACCTCAAATTAAACCCTACGAAATCATGCGCCATGATTTCCGGAAGTAAAAACAAAAGTATGCCTTTAGCCGGTAGTCTTAACATTAAAGTTAATGACACTAAATTAAAATTTATAACTAGTACAAAGAATCTGGGGGTTGTATTGGATACTCAGCTTCGGTTTAAGGAGCATATAAAATCTATTTTCAAAAAACGCTTTATAATAAAAATGCTTTATAATAACAGGCTTATAATAGGCAAAAGTTTGACACGAAACTTATGCGCCATTTGCTTGGATCATCAAAGTCGTACGCGAATACAAAGAGTTCAAAATTCATGTCTTCGTTTTGTCTTTAGGATCTGAAAATTTTATCATATTTCTCATCTTTATGGCGATATAAATTGGCTGAGAATGGATGCTTGTTGAGATTTACATTTTAGTTGTTTTTTAATTAAATTTATTAACGAACCCCTTGCTCCCACCTCTATTCATGATCGATTAATATTTCGTTATAACGTACATAATTTAAATATTAGAAGTACTATTAAATCTACAATGCCCCACCATCAGACCGCCATGTCTCGTAGTACCTTTTCGTATAACGTAGTACGTTGTTACAATTCAATACCCAAACACTGTTTAAGTCTCAAGGTTAAAACTTTTAAATACACATAAAAAAAATGTGTCAAATTCGGTACGACCCAACAATACCATTGTCATATTGTAAACGGTTTATGGTTTTTATAGGATGATTTTTTATATAGTTACTGACCCTAAAAAGCTTAAACAATTTATTGTTATAAATTGCTCGAATGCGTAATGTCTAAAGTTAAAAGTCTTGGTTAAACATGCCAAAGTCCGGTTCAGTAGAGTAGCTTTTAAGCTGACTGCGCGAGAGTTGTCGTGATAAATTTATTGTAATATACTCTTGTTGATGATGCATTACACAATAAAAGGCATTTATTATTATTATTATTATTATTATTGTTATTATTGTTATTATATCTCTGTGAATATTTTCGTTTATGGAACATTTATTTCACACCCTGTATATATTTAGAAATTAGATACGAAAGTGTAGATAATCCGATAAACTAAGCAGTTTTGTTTACGTCGTAAAAGCCTATTTGCTAGCTTTCCAAACATTCAAATTTCCAGATAAAAGCATTACACCGTATCATAAACATGTTAACTCAAGTAAGCCGCTTACCTCTTCCCTATTTACTGTCGCATTCGCACAAAGACGCGAATCTAATAAACACAAGTTATACGTCCCGCCACTTCGAACTCTATCCCGGAGTCTAGTCTCCTTAACTCCATTAATTATATCGGGGTTTTGTTCCTGTACTTGATGGCAACGCAGCGCGTTAATTTCTTGATCAGCTTTAACCGACTCAAAGTCAGCCTCTCGCTTCACGGTGGGTTTCATGTTCGATTTCTCCGGAAACTCATCAGATGTGCACTTGAGTCGGTTCTTTCTCACCTTGATACACTTTGTCGCGCATACAACCAGCACAATCACGAGAAAAATCAATAGCACCGACCCCGTACCAAGGGCAATAGGTAAATACTCTAACGGGTACGTTTCCACCACTTCGGCGACTTCGACGCGTTTGAGTAGTATTCTGAGGGTGAAGTTTGCAGACGATGTCCCAGCGGAATTATCTGCGACGCAGTGGAATGTACCGTTGTCTTGGCCGTCGGTGTTGTAGATGAAAAGCTCGCTGTGTTTTTCTTCCTCTCCCTTTTCTATATAGTAGACAACGTGGAAATCAGGGCCTACGCGAGTGTTGTTTTGGATCAGTTGCCCTTCAAACCACCATGACACCCTTGACGAAGGAATTGAGTTAATCTGTAAGTGAAATATAAAATCCGTTTAGGTAACCACGTCAAGGGTCAAGGATGTATTATTAATAATTTAAAGCGAATATTTCGATTATATGAAATAAAAATATAGGTACCAAAATTTGAATTTTAGGGATGAGAAATTATGTGGTGTAATCATATTCTTTTTGTATATTATGAAATTTACTTACTGTAATAATTCAAGTATTTTTGTAAAAAGTATTATTGTTCATTTTCTGTATTTAAAGCCGTTTTCAAAATATTTATATTTTTATATAGCAATGGATAACAATGCGTAATTGGAGTGTTTTAACAGGAAAAATCTATTTCTGAACTAGATAGAGTAAAATCGACTGACATGTCAAAGGCTCGATTTTTGAGAAACATTTAATTTTTAAAATCGCATGGCAATATCTTCGCCACCAACTGAGTTATAGAGCGTTGCTCAATTTTCGACCCTTTGCAAATAATATTTTTGGTTATGAAAATTTTGCATTCGGATAAAAACATTATTAGGGCATTTTTTAGGCGCAACTGCGTTCTTACATTTTTTCTACAGTTCTCCGTTTTCTTATAAATGAATACAACTTTCTTATTTTATATGGCAATTGTTATTGGCTATGATCTTAAAAATACCCCGATCCCTTTTCAGCCATATAGATTTGTTGGTATCTGTGATGCAAAAAGGCGGAAACATAAGCATTTTTTGTTTATTGTTATTTATTTTTGTTTAGTAGACCCTGTATATAGCTGTCGAATATTTCGGACGTTTAAAAAATAATTTAACCAATTACTCAAGTTTCAAAAATCCAACGGAAAATCGAATCAGAACAGCAAAAGAATAGCAAATACTGGATGTGAACATAATTGGAGAAGTATTGGAAGAACCGAGCATATCCTTGAGGACACTAGTTGACGCGAAAAATACTAAAAAAACTAACGTTTTGACTAGTATAAAAAACATTCAAACCATATCGCACCAGGAAAGTCCACCATTTACATGAACGGGATGCCGGTAGAAGAATACAATTTTGCAATTGGTTTATCGGCAAGTACAATGAGAACATTAATTTTCAATTATCTATTGTCTGGAGTGATGAAGCGAGAATTGGCTGTTCCGGAATATTTAACAGATGGAATTCTTATCGCTGGGGCACAGACCTTATTTTTTTAATGAAAATCTAACAGCGGATGGTTATATAAATATATTGCAGACATGTGTTGATCCATTTTTGGAAGACTTGCCATTAATTCTTGGAAGGAGTATTTATTATCAGCAAGATGGTTGCCCTGCTTTGGACAATGTTGGATTGGAACTAGAGGCCCCATTCTCTGGCCTGCGAGGCAAGATTGTGTGATGTAACTCCACTAGATATTTTTTAAGGAGGAGATTAAAAGTTCTTATATTTGAAGATCCAAAGCATAGTTAGGGCAAGCTACTCGAGAAGCGTTTGCTTCCATCAATCCTATTGAGCTGGTGAATAGTTATCATTCAGTACGAAGAAGGTGCGTTCAGCGGCGCCCAATCTGGACATTTACGTTAAAATATTTCAATATAATTAATGTAGAAGGTAAAATTTCAATATTTTGTGTATATATATATATATATATATATATATATATATATATATATATATATATATATATATATATATATATATATATATATATATATATATATATATATATATATATATATATATATATATATATATATATATATATATATATATATATATATATATATATATATATATATATATATATATATATATATATATATATATATTTTTTTTTTTTTTTTTTTTTCTTCAATTTCTCTTGGGTATTCGGGCTCTCGAAAACAATTAATGTGATTCTTCTAAATATTTATTAACGTTTCGATCGTAATTTCGATATTTTTCAAAATAATCTTATTTTCTATAGGTGACATATATAATAATTAATGACATTTGACGTTGTGTTAATATATTAAAAATAAAAATAATTTGTTAGCGAATATTTTATACGGATTGGAATGGCATGCAAAACATAATAGACCAAACGCTAATGACAGGAAAAATGGAACAATTTTTTCTATTCTGTTTCAAGATATTGAAAAATATATTTTAAAATCTTTATGTGTACACCAAAATTCTTCTTGATTCCACTTGATTCCCACGGAATGCCACATAATTCCTTTATAATTCTTTTTCTATAAGCATTCACATTAAATTAATGAGGAACAAAAATATGGTAGTTATCATAAAATAATACATAAATTAAAAAAGTCAATTAGTACAATTACAAAATAGTTTATAAATAGTGTAATTTGCCATCTAGGGTGGTCCGTAATTAATGCGTTAAAAAGCAATTGAAAGCGGTATTTTACTTGTGTGTGTGGATTAATTATTGTAATATATTGTTTCAAAACGTTTGTCTAAAATTCAGATGTTTTAAATATATATGGAATTTTGTTTCCATCCTGTACCTGTCGCGTTTTTTGGGTCGGATGTTCCGTGCTCCGTTAGGACGATCCGCAAGTACGCGACAGGTACGACCGAGCGTTCTTTCGGCTTTCCGGCAAGCTGGACCTGTTCCAAAACGCAATTCACTATTAGTTTTTTCTCCCCTTTTCAATCGTCAATGAAGAAATGAACACATTCACATTGATATTAGCGTTGACTTGCATAAGTTAAAGTAAAAGATATTTTTTAAAACTGAATAAAAACTTACTTCAACTGATTAATATGCCATAGAGATAATAAAAATATTTGTTAGTAAATTGTATCACCAAATCAAATTAATAATAAAAGTTAGTAACACAGCATTGTTGCCGATTTTTTGTGGAGATTAGTGATAAAACAACGTCATTATACCACTTAACTGTAACTAAAATTCTCTACATATCATCTTAGAAACAGGAATATGATCTTATTCACCTTTCTTGTCGATATTTTAAAAATTGCTGTCGATAACTAAACTTTAAACTTTAACACTCAGTGAGCGACATTTTCCTAGAGCACGTTTGGCTCAAAATCATTATTTTTGCGAGTTTAATTTAGGATTGGCTTTTGGTGCATTTATTACAAACCACCTGAGATAACTGAAACGTGTCGAATTACTGAATCGTTCATTTCAAAAACCAAAAACTAATAACTATATTAAATACTTATTCGCAGTGTTTCTTAAAAATTATATTTTTCGATTGTTGTGTTGTTTGAAGTGAGCTATTCAGCTATAAAAAGTAATGTTTATAAATCTAAATAAAACCCAAAAATTGGATGTCCGAATTCCAGAATGAAAATTTTAAATAAAATTTAAAAATGTTAATCCCGATTTACCGGATTTCACGTTATATTTCTTAACTTTTAACATGTGGCCAGGGATGTTTTGGTTGTAAGGAACACCAACAACGGCAAGTGTAGGGTTGCTTTCGGACTCTCACATTCAAAAAATTACTGATAACATATCAAAAGTTTTTAAGAAATATGAAGTCAAAACTAGATTTACCACATGTCCAAAAATCTCTTCTATCAGTCAAAGACCAAATTAAGTTTGGTCATACCCTTCCTTCAATTTCTCCAACCCTCAAACAATATATAAGCAGGTATAGAGTAAATAAAATATGAGCCAGTTTCAGTTAAACTCGGAAGAAGTCAATAGAATGTTGTAGTTTGTGGAATTTTCTTTGAAAAATTATTTATTTTTGCTACATTTCATTTTCAACACTCTGTGGTTCTAAAACATTCAAACATTCTAAAAATTTTATACCGTTTTTCATCTTAAAATATCAACTCTTTCCTTTTGACAAATAGATTAGAAAAATTCGTAAAAAAAATTGAAATGCTTCCAAAACGAAAAAATGAAAATCTCTTACGGACTCGAAAAACTCTAATCCACAATGTTATGCGGAGGGATTTTTTAAGTGAAACTCATATAAATACGTTACAAGTTGAACGTCGAGAATATCTAAAAAATTTAGGCACTTATTGCAAGAACAAATGCGGCAACGCTGGTGACACTTTAAAAGCGAATAAGTATATGGAAAAACGTATACCACTGACGCCCTAATGTTTATCAAGTGTATTGACGCTATATGGCGGGCTTTGGGAAGGACATACGAAGGTGACGCTGTCCAAGATATATATATATATATATATATATATATATATATTCTCACGTATTGATTCACGGATGGAAAAATGTGATGACACTATATTCCGGGATATCATCCGTTCGCTCGTTGAACTCCGACTGGAATCCTGCATCCGACTGGAATCCTGCAAATCTTGCATCCGACTGGAATCCTGCAGACGTTTCGCCAAAATCTCACTTGGCATCTTCAATGCTCGCGCTCCGAAAACACTTCGAACACATATATATATATATATATATATATATATATATATATATATATATATATATATATATATATATATATATATATATATATATATATATATATATATATATATATATATATATATATATATATATATATATATATAATTTTTTCATAAGTGGAAATACATTTTCAATTGTGAGGCCGCTTCTACATGAACGACGCAGCATGTTTATTAATTTAGATTCTAGTAAACTAATAGAATATGAAAAATTTTGTTCGGGTTTATTTATAATAAATTCAAAGAAATTTGAAAAAAACGTCTTAGGCAAGAAGCAGTGTTTTGTCAAAAAATTGTAGAAATACAATTTGTTAAGTTTTTTAATATTTTGTAAATATATTATTTCATTTGCGCAAAATATACAAGAAATTTGCACCCAATCTTGTTAAAGTGTATATGGAAGTTAGTTTGCCGAAATGTAGACAGCCCATTAGTTTCCATAACAACCATTATTATTGTGTATTATTGTCAACAAAACCTGATGCTGATAACGTAAACTAATATTTCTAAAAAGCACTACACATATTTTGATTTGGGAAAATTAAAAGCTTACCTCGCAATACAAGGATATATTTCTCCCTTCTTCGACTTCAAAATAAAAAGAAGTTGGTGACACTTCAGGCACACAGGCCAAATCGCCTTTGGCTACTCCCCTAATAAATTCTCCGGAGAACTTTTTTGGAAGAATGCAAACCGGTTCCACGATCATGGGCACTTGCTCCTTAATCAGCCAGTCATAAAAGTCGCGAATATGACAGTCACAGTGCCACGGATTGTCTTGCAGAGTAACGCCTTTTAAGGAGTTTGGAAACCTTTTACCTACCGGGAAAGTCGTTAATTTATTTCCCGACAGATGCAGCCATTCCAGACTATAGAGGCCAACGAACGCAGCTTCATTAACCACGGAGATTTGACAATCTGCGAGTTCCAGCGTAGTCAGGTAACTTAAATGATTAAACGCCAACTTGGGCAGATGCCTTATTGGGTTCCCGCTTAGCGTGAGTCGCATTAGTGACGGACAACTTAGAAAGCTCCCAGTCGGAATAGTTTCGAGTAGGTTGTTGGAGACATCGAGCTCTACTAAATTAGTAAGTCCCTTGAAGGCAGCTTCGTGGACTACTGTGATACTGCACCGGCTTAAATAAATCCTTTGTAGGTTAGTCAAGTTCATTCGAAGAAATTTCTCGCTCTCGAGGACACGGAGGTTGTTCTGTGAGACGTCCAATACTTGAGTATCTGTCTCAATGCCCAAAGGGATAACCAAGAGGTCCTTCTTGATACATTCGACCGTTTGTTTTCCGCTACGCCACTTGCAGACGCAAGTATGTGGACATCCCTTACAGCAAGTTACGGCCAGCAGAAACAAAAGCACTGTTTCGCGGGTAACGCAATTCATTTTAAGGGCTGAATGAGGAGGTAATGTCCCATGACGTAAACGGCCGGCAGCTTTGCTCTTTCCTGCAACAAAAGAGACACTTTGTTTACAATTTATGGCGGGGGAATATTTGAGGCTCATTCATTGACGAAGGCGGGATAATGCTTCGCTTTTGTTTCAGTTACGTGTTGTTTAACGGTGCGCGATTTAATTTGATAATTTCGGAAAATGTGCCCGAAGTATATTGTTTCGTGCGTTTAAATTATATTTGGGACGTTGAATCAGAAGATGGTAAGCTCTGCCACCTCATCAGACTAAGCACCGCACATTCTAGCAGTTATGTCTGATGGGCTGTGTGGGTTTATTAGGGACAACTAAACGTTTTTAACTAATTAACTTAACTAAATTTAATTTAGTATTTATCATCAATCAACAAATTAAGCCAAAACGCAAATTAGCGTTGTCATCAAAAAGTAAACATTTGTTGGTTAGTTTTGGTAGCAAAAGCTTTCTAGTCATAAATTTCATTGTCCAATTTTGTAGTTACGTTGACTTTTACAGAAAACTACAATTGAAAATGAAAGTTTCGTATGGTTTCAAAATTTCCAATTTTCGAAAATCAAATTAGGCATATTGTTGCTTCCTAAAGATAGTTGAATATTTACTTGTTTCCAAAATTTAAACATTTTGGTCAATATTTTTATGGTTTGAATTAAATTTTAAAATTATATAGAGGGTGTCCGATAAATGCTGGACTGACATTAGTTTTTAAATTTTAAACGGAACATCCTATACATTTTGAGATTTTTAGAATCCTTGCCAAAAATAAAAGAAACTTTTATAAAAACTACTTATTGGAATTCTTAGACAGAAATTGAGATTATATATTTTCTTATGCAAAATTACGTTCCTAGTGGATATGGTAGTAATAACTACTTGACCAAACTTTTTTATACTTCCTTCTATTGATCTGCGATGACTAGGCATTTTAAAATTATACAGGGGATCTTAAATTAAAGGACATTTTTTTTTTATTTCAACTTGCAGTATTAATTTTTTTCAATGAGACGCCCATGTTTTTGATATTTTTTCTCAAAGCGCACAGCGTACCTATAATTTGGTATCTATTGATTTTCTAAATTTTTAGGAATAAACTCGCTGGCGAAACATTCTGACATACACAAGAATTTCATCTTGGGACGATTTATTAAGATTTCGCATATTCAAATACAGTTTTCAGTAATAACGAAAAAACGATTTTTTATAGAGCATAATAATCTTATTATAAAACTTACTATTTACCGTAGTAGTCTGTGGTAACCAAATAAGTGTTTATAATTGTTTTAAGTGACTTTATAATTAAGAGTCAGAGTTTGGCAGATGTGTTTTTAATCAAGAAATATTATTATTACTTAGGTTAAAAATGTGTACGGTGCAAGAAAAAACAGATGTACTTGAATGTTTTTTATCGTATTCGAGAAGTCGAGCTTTGACTTTTAGAGAGTAACAAAGATAGTTTCCTGTAAGGCGGATTCCAGAGAAAAAGCTATTTCGAAAAATTTATGCAAAGTTTAGGCAAGATGATAGTCCTCGCCCAACGTCCAAAAAATGACCACGACAAGTTCTAACAGAGGAGAAGCAGTTAGATATACCATTATATTTTGAGAATATACCAGAATCCTCCACCCCTTAAGCCCCGTTGGAGTAAAAATAACTAGACGAACGGGACTATGACGCAATATATGACTGCAATATTTTAATGGACATGCATTTAGTTCATAACCCCATGCGTCATATAATTTGGACCGATTTTTCATAAAAAAGCCACAATTTTTAATCAGAAAAACACACATTAGTGTAGTGATGATAATAAGACAAGTGTGTTGGAAGTAAAACGACAAGGTAGACGATCTGTGAAAGTGTGGTGCGGAATATACCAATCATAGGGCCAATTTGCTTTAATGAAAACTTAAACTTTAGACGATATTTAAATATGCCCAGAAATGAAATACACGAAATACTGGCTTGTGAACGTGCTCAATTAATATGGCAGCAAGATGGCGCTCCGTACCATCAAGGAAACGATATCATTGAATTTTTAAATCAGAATTACAATCTTTGGATAGGACAAAATGGAAACATGTGGTGGCCACCTCGAAGTCCAGATCTTACCCTATTGGATATTTTTTATGGGGACAATTAAATATATGGTATGTAAAGACGCTAAGTGAACTCCGAAGGTGTATTAGAGAAGCTGTAGTCCCACTAAATAAGACTGATTTTGTGTCGAATGCTATAAACCATATAGAGGTTGTTTATATGACGTACATTATTCAAAATGGGGGAAAACCTACTGTAGATTTTCTACATTATTTTAGCTTAGTTTTTACTTTAATTGTCACAGTTACTATTGTTTGTTGTTTTTACTTGTTACCGTTACTTGCTATAAATTTTTAAACTTCTATCATATTTATACATTTTATTTTACATTGTTGACGATATAAAAACTGATGACGTTTTAATTTCCTAAACTCTCCTCTAAATTACCTTACTTACAAAAAAAACCATCACCCGTTGCAAGAATTCTTAAAAATAATTAAAAAATAAGAATTATATGCTTTTTTAAAATTCTTTAAAATAATTAGGTGTCAGTGTTTCGAAAACGATTAGATTAAGGTATAGGACATATAGGATATAGAACAAATACCAAATTATAGGTATTTTGACCCTCTTCTAGAAAAAATATTAAAAACATAGGCGTCTTATTTAAAAAAAAATGAATGCTGCAAGTTGAAATTTTAAAAAAATGTCCGTTTATTTAAAACAGATCGTTAGAAGGAAGTCTTCTAAAAATGTATGTAAAATTTGATCAAGTAGTCATTACTGCCAGCCGTGAAAGACCTTATTTACTAAGAACATAATTTTACATAAAAAATATATAACCTCAATTTCTATTTAAACTACACAAAATTCGAATTTACCTTTATTTTTGGCAAGGATTCTAAAAATATCAAAATATATCGGATGTTCCGTTTAAAATTTAAAAACCAATATCAGTCCAGCACTTATCGGGCACCCTGTATATATAAAAAATAAATATATTTAAAATTTAATTTAAACCATAAAACTTTTGTATAAACTCTTTTCTTCTAAAATCAGTGGTTCCTGAGAAAAAGTACAAGCCCACCTGTACATTAATTACATTAATGCAAATTAAAATCAGAGCCGGGACAATATTTTGGGGACAAACCTGGCAGTTTGTTTCGTGGTTTTTCATACAGAGTGTAAGTAAATTCTTAAAATTGCATGGATATTTCAAACGGACTAATAAATAATATTTCACTTTATTTACTTTGAATTGCATAAAAAAATATTTAATCAAAGAAGAAGAGAATATGTATTCAAATTTCGTTGAGCTTATTCAGTTTTAATAAAAAAAAGTGCCCCTACGAAATCGTAAACAAACGCGATAGCTCTAGGTTTAATAATATAGAGGCCTCACGTATGTTGATAAATCACATAACCAACTATAAATTTGCGTAACTGCCAGTTAATTTGGTTATTTTATTTTTATTATATTTATTTAAAAATACCAATGTCGCAATTGCACACATATATAAAACAAATATATCACAAATATAAAAGCCGACAGTGCTAAGAAACACTGTTCTTCTGACACTTTACAAGGCTACGGTCAATAAATAGATTAATGAATATACCTCAAATGCCTGAATAATCACTATTGACGTAACCTGAAATTGGTTTAAAATATGCAGTCATGAAGAGTTTGTTTTATCATCTGACCTACTTCTAATACTTTGAGGTAATACCTTAAATATTTCAGCACAAGTAAATGCACAATCTTTGCATAGCAGCCTACGACGGGTTTTCTGACTGACTAATCTCATTTGTTTAATAACACATATCTACAAAATTAAACTTTTTGACGGATGTTTTTATTTTGAAAACTGATTTTATACAATTTCAAACATTCAATGCATTTATTTGTATTACGTAATCTTTTTTTGCAAATATTAATTAAACAAAAACGATATTTCTAAAATAATTTATTTTTTTATTCACTAAAAAAGTGGAATCCTAGTTCAAAAAGGTGGAAAACAGAAACTTTACTCAGACTTTTTTGAGTGAAATCTTCGCCTTTTCGCCAGAAAGCTGCGTTGTCCGGACATTCGGCTGTTTGTTTTTAATGGCATATCCCGTTTTAACATGCGGCAGTAGAGCACCATCATGGTTATGCCCCATCTGCCTTGGTATCTCCGTTTCATTTCCGTAATGTCCTGGTGAAACCGGTCTCCCTGTTCTTCGCTAAGTGCTCCAAGAATGCCAGGAAAATAGTTCAATTGTGAAAACAGGAAATATTACATATTATTCGTTATTAGGGTTCCCAAGAAACTTATCAATTAACTTTATAAATGAAACTCCGGCGTTTTTCTCGATATTGGTCATTGTTTTTTGAAATTCTTGTCTTGCATAATGCTTTTATCTGCCACCCAACAAAAATACCTTCTTTTGGCATCACTGTCCATTTTTGTCTAGGGCTTTAACAAACTGTCTCATCAAGTCAAGTTTGATATGAAGAAGATGCAGTAAAACTTTTTTTGGGATCAACTAAGCTCTTTATACTTTTTTGCTACCAGGTGTAAGGCTTGTTCTAGAAGGCTAATCTATCTCGACTATCCCACTCACACCTAAAGCATGCAGACGAACAAAAATAACAATCATGATTCCTAGGCTCTAACCATACCATGGGGATACCAAAGCGTAAACATTTCTTCCTTTTTTTTTGGCCAGTTTCATAATGCTTCAACGCAAACGGAACAAACAGTATGAGGCGCCCAGGAATTGCCAGCCAATTTTTACATCAAAATAAGCGTAGTACTTTACTACGACATAACTACTTCAGATATAGCAAAAGTTATTTGGATGGTTAACACAATATCTTCTTTCCATATCTAGAATACTAGAAATATGCAACAATGAAGACAACCGCCGCGAAGACACTAGCGCGGCGATCAATAGAACCAAGCTGCGCATAAGCACGTTACAACGCTGGATTGACGCT